TAAGGCGAATAGCAAAGTAGAATACACAAGACATGTCACTCGTATTGTTTTGAATAGAGAAAAGTGTAACAGTCATTATGGCTATAAAGCCTGCCTTCTAGCACAGGAGCCCATTATTGATCGTTATAGACTGACAAAACTCCAGGGGAGGGGCTTAGACCAGACATGAGTTTCTGCAGATTTTGAGTGAATTGAGTTGTCTTAAAGGGACTTTGTCAATAGGTGCCACCTGCTGGATTAGCTTTTTTGTTCAGTATATGAATAACGTTTTAATTTAGGATTCGTTTCTTACAATCAGTATTTAATAAATATTTCTGTATATACCCTGTTTGTTGAATTTCCACTTGAAGCTGATGTTTTTGTAGAAACTGATTACAACAATTTGTTTACCAAGCAGACTAATTTATTTGATGGATTCTCATAACATTGTTTTCTTTAAATTTCTTTCAAAAACTTTTTGAAATTGCGACACTGTGTCAAAACATTATGTGATGAGAAGATTTTTTCTAAAGGTCAAGAATTGCAGATATGCACTCAGCGAGAGTTATATTACATATAAACTCACAATTTTAAGAAGAAAACATGAATTGTGATATGTAAATTCTTAAGAAAGTCACAAATGTGGGATGCATTTCTTTTAAACAATTGTTTCAACAACATTCCATATATAAAAGGTCACATACACAAATCAAACACATAAGCCACTATATTGCCTGACTAAAGCAGCTAAAGCTAGATTGTTTTCAATCGAAAGTACATGTAATAAAAGACACATGTTTTCAAACTGAAGGTCAGACATGTAGTTGTGCACACCAATCGCACAATAATGAGGTCATTTAACAGGACTGAACCTGGAAGACATAAAGGAGAACATTTCATTAGCTTGCCTTGTATCCATGGCCAATGAGCCACTACAAGATGTGGCCCCAAACACACACACCAATGAACAAATGAACCCTGTCCGGACATGGGTTACATAACTAGCACTAAACAGCAGTCAGACGTTAAGTCTAAGCCCCCTCATGCTGGCAATAATTCACTCTTCATGTTTCTAACCACATCTAGCCCAGGCTGACACAGCACCTGCAGATATCTAAGGATGAGCTGACTGTGGTTACAGGCTTCAGGCCAGTTTCAGGCACTGAAATATTCATGCAATGTCAGATATCCAGCAGAAACACCAGTATTACATAAAACAATGGGCTCTGCTCCCATAGAATGCATTAGCACAAATTCTCTTTTCAGCAACACTGATTGTGGAAACAATTTTTCCATAAAAAAAGAAAAACAAAAATGTCCTTTAAAAGCCAACCAAAGATGAATCCAACATTGCAAACTTTTGAAACAAAAATCAGGAAAATTACATTACTTAAATGGTCATGAAACACTAAACTCATTTTTTCTGAGCAAAATTTAATTGATTAATCATGGAATTTTAATACCGTGCAACTTTAAAATACAAAGTTCTATTTTGCAGAATCCTTGACAAGCTCTACCTTCTCTGCTCATCTCTCCCCAGCTACTATAAAAACAACAATTTTTTTCATGCAACTCTGTCCTTTTAGAAGATAATTAATTTAAATGAATATTACTTTGTACTTAAATACACAATTATGCTGTTGCAAAGACACCAAGGAAACTGTCTGAACTCTACACAAAGTTGAATTTGACATACGAAAACTAATAAAACAGAAAGTGAAATAATAAAATGCACAATTTAAAATTACAAAAGGATATAAAATCACTAAAAGACCAACTCAAACCAAAATGAAAACATGTCAATGAAAATGTTTTGAAAAAAATCAATGCTATTCAAACATGGTGTATTATACTATAATTAATTAATTTATATAATTAATATTAATACAATTAATTAATATAATGTGTAGTAAATTAATTACTAAATTCATTCATTCATTAATTTTCTTTTCTGCTCAGTCTCTTAATTAATCAGGGGTCGCCACAGCAAAATGAACCGCTAACTTATCCAGCATGAGTTTAATGCAGCGGATGCCCTTCTAGCTGCAACCCAGTACTGGGAAACATTCATACACACTCTTTCACACATACACTACGGCCAATTTAGCTTATTCATTCAATGCACATGTCCCGCATGACTTTGGACTGTGGGGGAAACAAGAGCAAACTGGAGGAATCCCACGCAAACACGGGGAGAACATGCAAACTCATAGAAGTGCCAACTGAGCCAGCTAGGGTTGTGAGGCGATTGTGCTACCCATTGTGCCACCGTACCGAACCAGACATATTCAGATGAATTGTGGTTTCTTTTACAGTATATTACGTGTTTGAGGGACCCAGTAACTGCTCATTTGACCAGTAGCACTTTTTTGACAATTCAAAATTAAGAACAATATACAAAAGCCAGGGGATGACGACAACGAAAGGAAAAAATATATAAAAACATGTAAATGTTTGCATTCATTAATACTTAACAGATTTTTTTGTTTGTCAGATAAACAGCTTAAAGTCTGATTTTAAAATAAGAAATAATGGCTTTTGTATACTGACTTTTACCAACAGAAGTGATAAATTGATCAATAAATATTCTTTGTATAGTGATCTATTGAATGTAAAAAAAAGTTTAAAAAAAACATTTTAAAATAAAGTTGAAAGCTGGACATAACGTTGATTCTAATAAAAAACAGAAATCCATCAAAAAGTAACTACATATGGCAAGCCATTTTGACATTTAATCAATAGCCTGTTCTAGTATTTATTTTTATGTTACTACTACTAGTACTTATTTTTTTAGATACTAGTATCTTTTCCATTAAATACTAGTGCTTATTTATAGGTATTAGTGCCTATTCTTTAGATACTAAGTGTTTTATTGCTTTTAAAAATATACTAGTGCTTAATTATTAGACACTTTTTTTTTTAATTAGATATTAGTACTCATTTATCATAGATATATATACACTAGATATCGCATACCCTGAGTATGCGTCAATAGCGCCGCCACATTTGTACAGTGCTCCCAGGACAGAAGTGGTCAAGACAGTGTGCCAATGTGAAGATGCTGGACTTTAGCGCTGTGTACGGGTGTAGTAACGAGCAAACAAAGAAAACAAAGCACTAAGGCAAAACATTTAATACGTAAGATTTAGTTTTTTACATTTTTATGTTATGAACTTTTGTGGTTAACAAATATTGATGATGATAATACTCTCTTATCTTATTATAGTCTCTTACTACATTCACCATAGGGCAAAGGAGCACCAACTCACACTAAATACTAGGCTTATGCTAGTTTTGTTGAATAAAATAAGCAAACAATGTTATGAAATATGACAACAAGTTGCTGCAGTGCCAGAAACTTGTATTATTGTCAGCCAAGGGAACGAGTCGTTCATAACGGAATCCCATAAACGAATTACTCCCTCCGTTAGAATGAGAAGTGAAAGCATGAGGGGGTGTGTTTCAGGACGCGGAATAGACCAAATTAAACAAGGAGAGAGAATAATACATTTCCATGCACACAAACATATACTCTTTGTCGGCAATGCCGAAAATGCAGTGGAAAAAAGATGTAAAATTAAATTTTTGTAATTAAAAAAAAAAATATTTGCATACTGACAACCGGAAAAACTCCCGATCAGAGATATACGTGTATATATCTCTGGCTTTGGATGGCCACAGTCCTTCACTGCATCTTGGTCCCGCATTCATTTCATTTCCTGTACTAAAATGGCGGCTCTGCTGATGCATTCCTTCTAATAGACAACAGCAGGGTAGGCAACATCTAATGTATATATCTATACTCTCATTCATTAGATACTAGGTACCTATTAAATAGATACTAATTCTTATTTATTAGATACTAATACTTATTTTAATAGTGACTAGTAACCATATATACTAGGTATAAGTATATATTACTTAAGTACTAGTAGATAATAAATAGATACTATTGTTTATTAATTGGGTACTAGTATTTAATTAATGAGTACTAGTACCTAATGATTACCTTCTAGTACATAAAAAAAATATATGTACTAGTCCCAGCTGGAATACACACTAGTCAAAACTGAATAGTCGATATCTCAATGACATATCCTATAGAAATCAATGGGAAAAAAAAGTTACTAGTAACAACAGAATAGTTACTAGTCACTATTAAAATAAGTACTAGTATCTAATTAATAAGTGTCTAATAAGAAAGAACTAGTATCTATTTAATAGGTATTAGTATCTAATGAATAAGTACTAGTATCTAATACATCCTATCTATTTAAGTACTAGGACCTAATGAATAAAAACTAGTATCTAATGAATAAGTACTAGTAAATTTACAAAAGACAATAGTAGCTAAAGAAAAAGTACTAGTATCTAAATAATAGGCACCACTAGTGTCCAACAAATAAGCACTAGTATAATGAATAAGCACTACTATTTAATGGAAAAGATCCTACTGTAGTATCTACAAAGTAAGTACTATTAACATAAAAATAAATACTAGTACGGGCTGTTGAATAAATGTCAAAACGGCTTGCTATAATGGGCAACTCCAAAACAAATGTTAAAATGTTTCTGTATGTAGACCAACCTGCAGCACTGTTTAATATTCGTATACATTCAAAATGACGTCAGAATCAAAAACGACTAGACAATGAATACGCTATTTACATGTTAGAAAATACGGAGTATATAGAAAGAGCTACTGCAACAAAAAAGTACAGATATTTTTCACTGAGATTGCTTGATTGTTTAAAATGACAAGATTCACACTACATATACTATCACAAAACAAAGCGGAATCACTGACTGTAAAACTCATTTTAGGCAGTTAAGCTTTCAGTCACAGTTTATTACATGAGCAAGCAAACACGTCTAGTTATGATAGCTGCATTTACTTGAGAAGTGATCCAAGCATGCATCAGCTCATAAATGAGGTCATGCACCTGATTTTGAGGAAAGCCATTCAACCATCATCATTACGTAAGAGCTAGCCAGCATGCTATCCAAACACTTCTACTTACCATATTACAAATGGAGGCGATGTTTCTGACAGTCATTTAGTTTATAAGGTGCCTCTCGTTGCCATCTTTATGAAATAAACATGATTGTAACAGCGGAACACTGACAGGCCAAGCTGCAATCCCAACGGAGGACAGCAATCAGTGACCACTCAATTCCCGCCGCTCATGCAAAGTGCAAACAAAGCGTGAGATAAACGTCGGCGGCTTTCATCTAGATGTTTTCTTCATGGCCACTGCAAATGAGAATAAAAATGCTGGATAAACTTATTGTAAACATCTTTGCCAGTTGCACGTCCTAAACGAAACATTCACATCCTGGATTAGCGGTCAAACCCCGCCCATTGAGTCCCGATTGGTGCGTTTGGGGAGTACGACACGAAACGCTGGTCAGTTGATGGACAGGTCAACTGACCAATGAATGGTGAGAACATCAGTTGATAAATTCGCTGTGGCCAGTAGAATTTGGATTTGATAGATAAAGGGGTTAAATCAAGTAACAACCATTTCCACTTACAAGCCCCTAAGAATGCACATATAATGCAGATATAAAGTAAATTTATTTTTACTTTTCTGACAAAATGTATGACAATAGGTCTGTTTTCACAAAATATTGATCTTAATTTTTATCTAGTTTAAACAACACTGCCTCGTGTGCTGTGCAGCCATGCAAAATAGCGTGTGTGATTCTACTGAGTCGATTCTTTTCTCAAAACCGGTCAGAACGTTTTGTTTGCTGATCAGTCTGAATCATCAGAGTGAATCAGATCAGATTGACTCCCCAAATCATCTGAAGAGGCGAAATGAATTTAGAGGCGGTCCCCTTAAAAGTCCCAGAATTCCTCGCACCGGTCACACGTGTTCTTTCTTTTCCGTTTGCACAATCCCTGAGAGCAGGCACAGAAAACATGAGCGGAGGCAAAATTACCTCTGGTGAGATTAAATACTCAGATTAATGCACATATGTATTGTATTTTTTAATTAGTTAAATAGACTCTATGTTTTATTTTACTCCTGTATTTGCAACTTGGACTATAAATGTTTTAATTATTTAACCTGAACAGTTATAGTGGGCTTTCTAGAAGTGTTTAAGGCTTGGTAAATATTTTTATAATAAATATCTTTTAAATAATGAAGCAATGCATTTATTAAGTCACGTTAAGGTTAGTATTAAACACTAGTAACTTTTTAATTATTAAAAGGCCACGTGTTCTCTACACAGCACGTGGTGAGTTAGCGGTCTACTTGCTAATGTTTAGCCTAATGTTAAACTTATTTTTACAGACTGGCCATCTGAGCCCCCTGACTGAAGAGGAAATCACCAATTACTACAATGTCTGAAATATAAAGGTAAGGAAGTGTTTTTTTATATATAAATATATATATTTAATATCTAAAAGGAAGAGTTTTAGCTCTGTGATGGTTCTAAGGTGTTTGTTCACCCTTGCACAAATCTAAAACAAAGCATGAAATCCACACATCTATAAAGTCAAAATTAATTACATTAAATGTTGCATGCTCTTCCCTGTTTGTTCTTCAAAGCGAGTTTGTGTTTTAGTCAAGATTAAATATTGATTTTATCTTTTAAAGCCAATTTATTAGACGCTAAATATTTAGTTATGGTCTTTAGTTTTCCTATTTTTAAAAGAATTGGCTCAAATTTTTGTAAATTAAATTTACAAATTGTATCTGTAGAGAACACGTTGTGATTTTGTTTGTAAATGACTTTCATTCATTGTTTTCTTTTTAACCAGACAAATCCTGGCGTCAGTTCTTGTTCAATGGAAAAAGCTTGCAAATAAAACCCAGAAATTAACATGATTGCTTTTTCCTTGCTTAGGCTTAAAGATGGTCTTGTTCCAGAGCCCACAGTTGTTGATGAATCCTTCCACAGTTACTTGGTGAGTGTGGTGCCTCTCAGCCCCTCAGCTCTGTTTTGTCAGCCCCTTTTATTGCACATTCAAGTCCTTCTATGGCTTGAGTGAATAACACAGGGGGGCAGAAGAATTCTCTCAAAAACCTGAAGTGCTGGCTTTGATATTCCATGCTTCGGATCCTGTCGGGAGAAACAACTTTTCAACAATTATATTCATTACTTCTGTTTAAAAAGATCAATATTTAGTCTGTTTTCTTTTGTTTGCAGGAGGTAAAGGCTAGGAAGAGAAATCTGCAATCATTCGGTGAGTAACTGTCATCCCATGATTCATTTATTTATTGCGTGAGCTAGTTTAACATTTTAGAACAAAAGGAGACAACAGATGATGCATAGAGCAGCACCTTAATCTGTTCAATGCATTTGGTTACATCTGTAAGTTCAAAAATGTTCAGACTGTTAACAAGTCCAGTGTTCCCTTCTACGCTTTGCCCACTGGAGGCTGTCTGTGTCTCTAGTGGCCATAACAGGGGGGTATATTGAGCTGCTCTTGTTAAAACCCAGGCCAGAGGTCATTCTCTGAGTCTGGATCCTGTCACAAGGCACATGTGAATATTAGATAGTTTGCCAAATGCAGTGCTTAATTTGGTAACTTGAATTTTAAGTTTTTTTTTTTTTTTTTTTTTTTTCCCTCAACAGGTCACAATGGCTGCGTTTCTGGGCCTTGTGTTCGGTGATCTGGTGGCTTACCTGTACCTGTGATGGAGAATGAATTTTTCTATTTGGAAAAGTTCAGGCAGAATCTGTCTCTAGGTGGAAGCTTAATGAATATTAATCACTCAATGAGTGCTTGACAATGTAGAATAAGTCAACTCTATACAGTTGTGTTGGTGGTTTGTCTAAATAAACAATATTTATCTATTATAAGTGAGCTTGTCTATTTTTTATTTTTTAACTTTTGAATAGTCAACATTAAGGTCACACTATTTGTCTACAAAAAATAAACAATTTAATGACATGACCTTTTGTGTTTTCATTCACCCATACGTATCTGCATTTTTGGGGGATAAATGACTAAGAAGATTGCAAGATGTGTAAATTGTTTATTTACTGTAAAAATTATTTTAATATAAAAGTACTAACAATTTGATGGATGAATTTGTAAATATGCTTTAGATTTACATCTTAAAGGTTTTAATTCTATAGCCTTTATGCGAGCAAAGAATAAGTTTACCCTCAGAGTTGCTTAATGTGATTGCTGCTGAAAATGATGCAGCTGGCCACAAATTCTTATTTAACAAAAATATATTATCAGGGCCTTAGCTGTTTCAAAACTTGCACTGTAACTGCAATTAATCAAATTCGATTTTTACTTCTAACGATTATGAAAAACAATTAAGAAAAAATTATTGCATTTATAATCCGCTCTTTCCGGTTGTACACTTGTTGCTTTGCAATGCTCAGTTTCATGTGAAAATGACAACGCATGTGCTGTAATGTAAGGTTTGCAGCATGGCATGTGCATCATTCATTGACATACATACGAATCAATGTTTTTAACAGCAAGACAGAGATCGCATGCAATTGTGTGTGCGTGCTCGGCCTCACGTGAGCAAAGCATATGCATCTAAAATCATCTTAATGCGAGCGATTTAATGGTCAAATAGGTTTCAGCGCGGTGTTTAGTGATTTCATATTAACCACCATTTGTGTAATGATGACGGTACATATTTTACTATAAATTGTTCAAAATACAAGCATTCAGATTAAAGTGCGATTCAAAGCCTCAATTAGGCAAGTCATTGTATAACAGTAGTTTCTTCTGCAGCAATCAGAAAATGTATAGCTTAGGGGGGCTAATAATAGGCTATTGACCTTGAATAGGTTAAAAAATATTTAAATCTGCTATTATTCTAATATATTGCTTTTCTCCAGAACAAAAAAAAAACTAAAGGAAATACTGTGGAAAAATTCCTTGCTTTGTTAAACATAATTTGGGATGTATATATATATATATATATATATATATATATATATATATATATAAAATGTATTCACAGTAGGGCTAATGATTTTGACTTCAACTGATCGTTTTGAATAATTGTGATTACAATTATGATAAATAATAATAAAATAATTGTGATTGATTTTTTTTCCCCATAATTGAGCAGCCCTAACTGTAACCATGTACACATTTACTTGCATTTTTATTTCTAGGCTACATACAGCTATTTTCTCCTCCTGCCAGCAACCATCAAGACACACCTATGACTCTTATTTGCATCATGACCCAACGGTTGACAACCACTTCTAAAATAGAAAATGATGTAAGTTTGAATGCAGATATTAAAAATAACAGGATGCCTGAATTACAGCACCTGATAAGGGGACAGAACATTTATTATCTGAAGTAACTAAACAAGGCCCAGAGCTGCACAGCATAACCGCTAACATTTACCACACAAGGGAAGGCTCAGTCGGTCTGTTGTACAACACAGAGCTCAGACTTATGGCCATGTAGGTCTGTCCTCTATGTGCCCTCCGCTTGTTGATATTACCTTGTGCACAGAAAAGCAAGATAAATGGTGACTGCTAATATGCAAGGATAGCGCTGGATGATTAAACAAGACTGGATGTATGAACAACATACACAAACCATGTCCAACAGTGTACAGCATACATTGCATGAGCATTATGTCACCTTCGTAAATCTAAAAAAAAAAATTCATTTGTTCATCATTTTGTGGTTAAATTTAGTTTGAGGAGGCAGCACAACGGCTCAGTGGTGATCCAACCGGGACCTTCTTGCTGTGAGGCGACAGTGCTTACCTCTTAGAAACGGTGTCGCTTCTCTAACTTTTATTTTAAATCATTAAAATCTTTATTTGTTTGAGGAATAGTGGCAAAGTATAAATATTTAATATTACATTTAGATTGCATTTTGAGGCTGCACTGTAATAATCTGTTAAATAATCTTAAATATTTAATGTCATTAAATGATTCTTGTAAAATGACTGACAAGATTCAAGTTTTGCACTACATTTTAGTGGGTGTGTTCTTCAAATGACTGAACAACATGATAGTTAATACTGCAATCAAAAACAAATAAGTAATAATAATAAAGTTTTGTTTTTGACTCAATGTATTCTTGCACTAAAAAAGTGCTGGGTTTTTGTAACCAACAGTTGGGTTAAAAAGTATAATTTTCATTTAATAAAAAAAACAGTCAAAGTCAAAATTATAACTCAAAATTAAAAAAACTCAAAGTCAAAATTATTTGAACCGTATAGAAGTGTCTTAAAAAATATCTTGTCAAATATTATTCACTGTCATCATGGCAAAACTAAAATACATCCATTATTAGAAATGAGTTGTTAAAACGATTATGTTTAAAAATGTTGAAACAAATGTCTCGTTAAACAGAGATTGGGGGAAAAAAATAAATGCTGACTTTAACATAATTTGACTTGAAATGTGGAAAGAAAGTAAATAAGTTTCCCTTAACATAATAAAATACAAAAGTTTTCTATACCCTACAATGGTTCTTAATTTTTTTTCACTAAGTACCACCTTAAAAAAAAAAAGGTCTTTCCAAGAACCACCATAATGACCAGTACTGAAATACAGTAGTGTAATAGACCTTATTGAGCAGCTACAGCACTGCACAGATCAAAAACATGGCAGACTCTTATTATTATGAATATTAATTATTGGCAGCCAGTTTAAGAATTAAAACTAGTTTGAACAATAACACTGCACTGTGCTCACAGGTAAAAAAATAAATAAATAAAACATCAACGTTTAAATAAAAATGTGCTTTTAAAAGTTAATTAACAATGGCACTGTTCTTAAAGTAAAAGAAAACAGCTGTATTTAAATTTAAAGTATTATCAAAAGTAGCCTATTCATCAAAACCTTGGACCTCATAAATGTAAGCTATATGTCATCTTATTCATATATTAACTCTTTTTGATCAATTTTGAAATATATGTTGCATGTATTTATGACTTATTTGTATATCTTTGAAATCTAAACATTAACTTGTATTTTAGATATGTGAATTGGATTTACATACTTAAATTAGAAAATAAATCTGCTTGCAGGTTAGAGTAGGCTATGTGTGTTAGAGAAGCAAGTGAATAAACTATACCAGTCAACATTGGGATATAAAAATATGGGATACGCCCCCAACAATCATTACAAACATGGGGAGGAAATTAGCTTAAATACACACACACACACACACACACACACACACACACACACACACACACATATATATATATATATATATATATATATATATATATATATATAAATTTAAAATTAAATAAAGAGTTTATCCTATTAAAATCAAATTACTGATCGCATTGGTGTTATACGCGTTAAAGGGTTAAAATCGTGTTCATTTTTTACTTTACTTATTAAGGGATTCCTCCACGTACCACTAGAAGGAAGCCTGCATACCACTATGGTTCACGTACCACAGATTGAGATCCACTGCCCTAATAGGTTAGATTAAAATTGACTTCTTAAAGCACCTGAAGTACAAATAAACTCAATTAAAATCAAGTTAAGTTAGTCAAGTTAATCTTTCTGTTTATATAAGCAACACAATGTATCTACATGCTTCCGTCTGGGTTGATGTAGGTTTCTCATTTGGAGGTCTGACTGACGACACTATGAACGACATTAAGACAGAATGGCCTGATGTCTGCATAACTCAATGACACACCAGACTGGTTATCTAACATGCTGGGTTAAGTGCACATAACCGATTAATAGCTCCATTACATGGAATAGTTCCTTACAGTTTTTACGCATTATGAATTTCATTGTGATTGAAGGAACTGAGAGATGGAATAGGAAATCACAATTCAAGCATTATGATAATTGAGATATTAAACCATTTTCAAAATGAGAGAGACCGATGAGTTTTTTTTAGACTGAAACCACAGGATTTGCGTAAATCCATGAGCACAGCACCCAAACACTTCAGCATTCAGCATGTCTCATCAAGACACCTATTGTAAGGAAATGGTGTGTTAAATTTAAGAAAAAAATGTGTTGAATATCTTGCCACAGTGCTGGATGTTAGGGAATGTTCGAATTATCTATTTAAGTCTTTAGTGATTGGCTTGTGGCTTTGTTTGTGAAACACTTTTTATAGACGCATAAACAATTAAGATGTCTGGAAACACTGTGTCAGAGTACATGGTGTTTTCAACAGGCTGGATGGAGTAATGGACCATAATTATAAACCAATTTGGGTTTTGTTCGTCTGAATGTTGTGAATGCAGCTTATAGTAATTGCTAGCTCAACAGCGCTTCACTAACAGGATCCTGTTTGATGTTTTTATCTATAATAATTTTACAGAATAAATGGTAACATGATTACAATAAAGCCCCTTTAGATTTATAACTCATTAACTAACACTGACATTTGTTAGAGTATTTATTGATCTCTATTAAAATGAATAACAATTCAACATTTTATTGTTGATTTGTGTTTGATCTGGTCCATAAATAATTGTTTAATGTAATGTAAATGTAAAGTGTATTTATATAGCGCATTTATTGTCTGTGGCCATACACCCAAAGCGCTTCACAATCATGAGGGGGGTCTCTCCACACCACCATCAGTGTACAGCATCCAGTGTACAGCTATTGGTGGAGTGGAGAGACAATGATAGAGCCAATTCGGTGGATGGGGATGAGTAGGAGGCCATCATGGGTAAGGGCTCATGAAGGGAATTTGGCTAGGACACTGGGGTTACACCCCTAATCTTTACAAGAAGTGTCATGGGAATTTTATTCACCACAGAGAGTCAGGACCTTGGTTTAAAGTCTCATCTGAAAGCTGGCATTATGGTGTCCCCTTCATTATACTGGGGTATTAGGACTCACACAGACCGCAGGTTGAGTGC